TTACCCGCATTTGGTCCATATCCCTCTAAACCTTTCCCATCTGTGTACCTATTCAAATGTTTTTTAAATGTTGATACTGTACCTGTCTCAACCACTTTCACCTACAGCTCATTCCATTTCCACACCACTCTTTCTGTGTGAAGAAGTTGCCCCTCAGGTCCCTCTTAAAACTTTCCCCTCTCGCCTTAAACCGATGCCTCTCGTTTTCAATTCCCCATCCCTGGTTTAAAAAAAAAGACTATGCATTCATCCTATCTATGCCCCTCATGGTTTTATACACCCCAATAAGGTCCCCCCTCATTCTCCTACATTCCAACGAATAAAGTCCTATCCTGGCCAACCTCTCCCTATAACTCGGGCCTCCTAGTCCTGGCAACATCCTCCTAAATCTTCTTTGCACACTTTCCAGTTTAACTATGCTTTTCCCATAACAGGGTCACCAAAACTGTACACAATACTCCAATTGCGGCCTCACCGATGACTTATACAACTGTAACATAACGTCCCAACTCCTATACTCAATGCCTCAACCGATGAAGGCCAGCATGCTAAATGCCTTCTTCACCACCCTGTCTACCTGTGACACCGCTTTCAACAAACTATCTACTTGTACTCCTAGGTCCCTCTGTTCCGTACAGTCCTCAGGACCTTACCATTTACTGTTTACTTGGTTTGACTTTCCAAAGTGTAGCACCTCACACTTATCTGTATTGAATTGCATTTGCCAATCCTCAGCCCACTTCCCATCTGATCAAGAACCCTCTGTAATTTTTGATAACCTTCCTCACAATTAATGATACCTCCTCATTTTGTATCATGCGCAAACTTATTAATCATGCCTTGTACATTCGCATCTAGATCATTTATGTAAATAACAAATAACAAAGGTCCCAGCACTGACACCTGTGGCACACCACTAGCCACAGGCCTCCAGTCTAAGAAACAACCTTCAACCATCACCCTCTGCTTCATAACTTCAAGCCAGTTTTGAATCCAATTAGCTAGCTCTCCCTGGATCCCATGTGACCTAACCTTCATGACTAGCCTGCTGTGTGGGACCTTGTCAAAAGCCTTACTAAAGTCCATATAGACAACATCCACTGCCCTACCCTCATCCATCCTCTTGGTTACCTCTTCAAAAAACTCAAAGATTTGTCAGATATGACTTCCCGCACACACATCCATGCTGACTATCCCTAATCAGACCTTCACTATGCAAATGTTGGTTGATCCTGTCCCTCAGCATCCTGTCCTACTACATGTCAGTCTCACTGGCCTGTAGTTCTCTGGCTTGTCTTTGCTACCTTTTTTAAACAATAGAGCAACATTAGCCACTCTCCAGTCTTCCGGAACTTCACCAGTGGCTAAAGATGAAGCAGAAATCTCTACAATTTCTTCCCCAGCCTCCAAGAATGGACTTGATCAGGCCCAGGGGATTTATCTACCTTAATGCGCTTTAGGGCTGCAAACACCTCCTCTGTGGTAATATGTATGCCGTCCAAAACATCCCCACTAGTTTCCCTTATTTCCTTAGCATCCATGATTCTGTCCTCAGTAAACACTGAGGAGAAATATTCATTAAAAATCTCCCCCAGCTCCTGTGGTTCCACACATACAGGGCCATGCTGATCTTTAAGGGGACCTATTCTCTCCCTGGCCACCCTTTTAATATAACCATAGAACCTCTTGAGATTATCGTTAACCTTATCTGCCAGATCCATCTCATACCCTCTTTCTGCTTTTCTGAAGTGTGCTCCTACACTTTTTATGGTCATCTAGGGATTCACTTGAGCCTGATAGCTTAAACCCAATATATGCCGCCGCCTTTTTCCTGACCAGAGCCTTGTATCCCTCATCTGCCAGCTTTTCCCTTCCCCTTAACAGGGACAACGCTGTCCCTGGACTCTTGATATCACACTTTTAAAAGCCTCCCATTTGCCAATCATTCCTTTTCCTTCAAACAGACTCCCCCAGTCGACGGCTGCTAGATCCTGCCTAATGGCCCCAGAATTGGCCCTGCTCCAGTTTAGCACCTTAACCTGTGGACCTGTCCTATCTTTTTCTATCTCTATGTTAAAACTAAGAGAGTTATGGTCACTGGACCCGAAGTGCTCTCCGACTGACCCAACCTCTCTTCCTAAGAGAAGATCCAGCATTTCACCCTCCTGAGGGTAAAGCAAGGCTACTGGTGTAGTGTAGATTGAGTGCAGATTGTATTAGTTTGGACTCAATGGCCGAATGGCCTCTACTGTAATGAATGATTCCAGAGCACGTTGGAGGTTCTCCACATCGAATCCCATGGTTGGGGAGGGGAAGTGCTGTCCTGTGAGGAACGATGGGGATAGAATAGGGCCCAATGGACTGCGTGGAGATGAGACAGTAAGAGGAGGTCTGACTGAAACTTTGGCAGGGTTAGGTGTTCCTTCGACAGGAAGGGTGTTCCCGCAAGGAGGGGAGGGAGGAGTCCAGAGCCAGGGGTCAGAATTTAAGGATGTGGCGTTGAGGAGAAATGTCTTCACCCGGAGAGCAGGGAGCCTGCGGAATTCTGTGCTGCGTAGAGGCTGAAACATTGAATGTTTTCAAGAAGGGGGTTAGATCCAGTTCTGGGGTTGGGAGGACAGGATTACAGAATTGAGATCAATGATCTGCCATGATCCCATTGAATGGCTGAGCATGTTCAAGGGGCAGAATGGCCTGCTCTGATCTCCTACGCTTCTGTATTTAAAATGCTGGGCGGGGGTGTTGGGATCTGGGCAGGTTCGAGCGGAGGATGTTTTAGACCCCTCTCTTCACCTTCCTTCCCCGGTGACACCAAACCCCACCCCACTCCCTGAACCCCCTCTCTATCCCCACCCCCCTCCCCCAGCCACCAAGACCCCCACACCCCACACACACAAACCCCTCCCCAGGCCAGTGTGGGGAGGAGGGAGAGTCGCCGCTTCAAGAGTTGGGTGGGGGGTAGGGTCAGTCAATCAGGGGACTGAGTAGAGGAAGAGATTCTGCATTCTGAGGGGTGAATGGGGAGCACTTGTTCAGAATTCCCCCAACCCCATCCGTAGCCATTCCAGTGGCGATTCCAGACTCTGGTGGGAGGAAGGGTCTGGGGTCTGGGGGGGAATTAGCAGCGACTATGTCGATGGGTTTGCGTGTGGGCTGGGTGTGTGGGAGGATTGAAGGACGTTGGGGAAATGAGAAAAGGGGGAGCGGGCCTGGACTTGGACAATCAGTCGCAATTGTGTCGAGAGGACTGGCCTAACCCCCCCACTGCCTCATCTCGGGAGAGAGTTTAATTTCTGTATCTCGGATTTTCCCCCCCACCCCGACCTCAGGCTGGAATGCTGGCAGTCCGTGAGAATCGCTACATCGTGCTGGCCAAAGACTTTGAGAAAGCGTACAAGACCGTTATTAAGAAGGACGAGCAGGAACATGAATTCTACAAGTGAGGAGCAAGGGCTTTGCAAGGAGGTCTCGGACTGACAGGGTGGTGTTCACGGCCCCCAGCGTATCTCGCTTTTGGTCTCCTCCACCTCCCTTTCCCTGGGGCCACACAGCACTGTCACTCCCTCGAGGGTTTTTTTTTTTTAAAATAAGTTTCTGAACTGTTCTTTTGTGTGTGTGTGTATGTGTGTTCTTCTTAATTTAACGAAAAAAACGTGTGGAATAAAGTTAATTGCTAGCCATGACATCCCCATCTCCAGTTCTCATGGCTGCTGTTACTCGGTTCCACCCAGCTCTCTCCTTAGTGGGGACAGAGTCCCAGTTCCTGACTTGTCCAGGGGGAGGCGATGGGTCTGCAGCAGGTGGTGAGGGACCCAACAAGACGGAAAAACATACTTGACCACCACCTTACCAATCTGCCAGCTGCAGATGGATCTGTCCATCTGAAGTCTAGCCTTACACATTTAGAATAACCTCCATCAAATTGTGCAACACTAACACAACTAAATGGGACAGACTTTGCACCGATCTAGCAACTCAAGACTGGGCATCCATGAGGCTCTGTGGGCCATCAACAGCAGCAGGATTGTACTCCAGCACAATCTGTAACCTCATGGCCCAGCATATCCTCCACTCAACCATTACCATCAAGCCAGGGGCTCAACCCTG